CAGTGGTTATCCGTTAATAATATTATTTTGAATCGAAATCACGGATTCGTATCAAACAAAATTTAAACAAGCTATTGTTTATCGGTACAATTCGATCTAAATAATAATTGATGCATTGATGACGTGTGTTCTCACAGTTGAACATCGTTATCCGACAAATTATTCTTTTGGACACGAACGTATTTTAAGCAGAATAACAAAAACTAATGTGGTTAATATTTTGATGCATGCAGTGTATGCTTATAATATTTTAATGTTTGAGACGATCATTTTAAAGTCATAATACAAGTAGAATCCAATTCACTTTTGGTTTTGCACTTATATATGGTTGTAATCTTCTACTGAAACTTTATAATAATTCTATAATAATTCTAATAAAACGGTGATGAGTGTAAATATTGTAGTACCTAATTTAATGTATTGCAATGAATAGTTTTTAAAGTAGTGTCCAAAATTATTCTACTGCATACTCGTCTACTAGTTTAATCCCAGGCCATTAATTGCTTATTTTTGAATAATGAATATACCTTTTTATTATGTTTTGTTAAATAATCTGTATTAGGAAAGTATAGGAACTGCAGGAAAGCGCTGTTTTGGGAGCAGAAAAAATAGTAATGATCAAAATTGAATAATAAATTACACATTATTATTTTATGATTCCTATAATTTTCGTTTATAGTTGACAAGGCAATTAATACATAATATTGCACAGATATTTATATTACCAGCTATATGCAATATAGATACATATATATACATACATGATTGCGGGCTATATTGAACGGTTTAATGAAATATAAAAGTTACACGTAGTACTCTATTTAAATGACTAGGACGAGGTAAACGTGCAGTAAAAAACTCGTCCGAAAGCTTTCATAATGTGTACATAGGACGACAAAAATTACAATCCCTACACGGCATTGACAGTGCAACGTGAATATTTCGTACATATAGCTATATTATGTGTTGTAAATAGACACCAGATATATTATAATACATCAAAAGAACGAAGCATCGACCGTCGCCAATAGCCCGTACACTTGTCTTTGATATTTATATGTCCTCACTTTACTTTTATTAGTGTTTACACAGAAACCAAATACACAGCTATTTCGGGGGGGGGGGAAGCTTGTTTACCATATTGTGTACATAGGAAAAAATAACAAAATCGTTACATATACTCCAAAGACTTCAATAAGTATATAATATAGATACAGTTTATATATATATACATTTATACATTTATACATATATATACTTTATATACATATATTTTAAGGCTACAAAGGTGCTACAACTATACCGTGTATGTGAGCACTATACTTGCCTCGCGATTACGGTTAGTATATTATATGTATAAGGCTGTAACTAGAAAAAATGTTTAGAGAGTGAGGTAGAATTGAAAATTTTAAATTCATAGCGCCCTTAAGCGCTTGTTCGATGGTATTACCATAGGCTTATTATTTTATCCAAAATTCAATTTAGCCAACACGCCGTATCCAACACTGTTAACTTAAGGTGAGGTACGTGATGGCATACGTTTGTCATTTTACGTCCGTTTCTTTTAAGACCTTATAATGACTCATATAGTATGCACATTGTACAAGTACATCCTAGAACAGTTAATTTTATAAAGGTCGAACGACAAACGAATAATGATTAGAAGAAGAGCAAGATAAATTCAAAATAATCTATGGTCGTCAAACATTTTTATTATATTATAATATTTCACTGTGATTTGTGTGATTGCTGTTTGTTTCTCATCCGTGCACGACCACCTTATACATCTTGCTAATACACTCTTGCTGAAATCAACGATAACAGCTCTCATACAGTAGCCTCGGCATTACTTAAATAACAAAATATTTTGTCACCTCAGAATAATTTACATCCAACCCGTGTCAACGACTTACATGATAAAATATTTACTAAACTTGAAATGTATTAACTATTCTTTTTTGTGTAATATATTATACATTATGATGATAATGGTCATTTACAGTAAAAGTCAACGCAAGCTGTTTAGGGGAAAAATACCTTCATTTTTAAGCATATAATTACATAAATCATAATTTTATGTTTAAATTTTAAATTTTAATTATAATCCAAATAAACATTATCATAGTAATGTACAAAATGTAAAACAAAAAATATATATTATGTATTATAAACTCGAGTGACAATATGTGTGCATTTTGTACTTAGTAATCAACGTTGAAGCCCGAATGTTTTTATATTAATGAGATAAAAAAATTTCCTATTGCGCAGGTTCTAGTTTATAATGACGTTCTCAATATATATATTTTATATAAGTTGTATGAAAAAATATTTTGAAAACTATTCTAGTTATTTTTAAAGTCAATAATTTTAATTTCTGTAGTGTTGAAGATGTTTTAAAATTATAAAATAGAGAAAGTTAAAAAGTAATCATAATTGTTCAAATTGATAACTAAAATTAGTAGATATAGTGATTAGTTGATAAAAAATAAACAATATGCTGTGCCGATTTATCTTTTATGTATGTTTTATGGTTACATGGGTAATAAATTTGACGAGACAGCACATACAAATAGTATTATACTCCAACAAACAATAGTAGATGTGAGAAAATCAAACGATAGAGAAATTAACATATAGGTACAAATATACAATTAAATATTCTAATAATAACAAAACTGACCTTAGTCAAATGTCAATGTCATTCATTTACAAGTAGATCTAGCAAATGTAAATATAATAAACTACCACGCGGTTAATAACTTTTTGACCACAATAATTTATGAAAAAAAAAAAAAAAAATGGAATTCAAAAAATAAATGTAATGTGTTCTATAACACATCTGTTTAAGAAAAATATATATGTAATATTTAATACCGTAAATATTAATATAACATAGTTTTAATATAATATACTCAAACTAGTCAGACTTGTCAATGGAACAGAAAAAATTTATGGAATGTATACAAAGCTGTTTAAAATTAAATAATTTAAAAAGTAAAAAGAGGTACGATTTACATACAAAATAGAATAATATCTAATGAAAGAAAAATGGTTTTAGTGAAAACCGAGAAGAAAAATTTCAAATGCAGTATAACTGGTTGGGATAGTTAGAAACTCAAAAATGGTTAATGATTATAAAAACGTAAGTCAAATCAAAAAAATGTAAAGATCGTCTTACTTGATATATAAGTAGCGGATAGATGCTAACTGGTATTTAAATTTAAAGCATATGTAAAATTAAAAAATAGTTATTAGTTTTAAGGGAAGGCAAACTCTAGAATCTGGACAAGACCGCATTTTTTTATTTTTAATGTAAAACTTAATTTATACTTATATTATTTTTTATATATGTGTGTTTAAACAGAATATACAAAATATTTATTCGATGTATTTTAGTTCGAAAAATAAATTATTGATAAACGTAATTAACGGACAAAGAATAAGCATTTCTAATTTTCTAAGCAGCAAAATATAGGAATTAAAAGACAACATATAGATTCAGATGAAATAGTAAAATTTAGAAAGTTCTAATCGTGAAAAAAACAATATTAAATAAAATATTTGTTTCTATATTGTCTAATGTGAATGTTTAAAGTTGATTGGTGACCGTGAAAAAAAAAAATTAATCAAACATCTTTAAACTTAAAAATAATTAAAGACATTGTCTATGGCTTATTCAAAATTTATTGTCGCATTCCATTCTTGTGTTTCGTGTTTTTTCTTAAATTATTTTAAGAAAGGTATTTAATTTCACGGTTCGCGGATATTGTCCATGTATAGATATACATAATATTATATACTATAATGTTAACATTACAATATAATTGATAGAACATATCAAGTTCATTAAAGTTCTGAGCTAACATCAACCCTCATACTTAGGAATTGCTGGCGACTTTTAGTTCTTTCGTAATACGTTATGATATAATATTATGAGTGTGTTGTGTGTACTAATAAAATTTATCATCTGGAACTTAATTATTTAAAATATTTTTCCTGAAGCCCCTTAGCTACAGACAACATTGTTCTAATTCCAAAGGTTTTTAAAAATATCACTGAAGTATAGGCAGTCTGCCTCGTAATCGTTTTTCGTATGCAATGATTTATAATTGACACATCCATTATACAGTATCCTATTCAAATACGAGATAATATATATATACTCGACATCTAAATACTGTACGTCTGTATACGTATAATCTGAGCTATATCTAATCAACCGGTTTTTTAAAACAAGCTTCAAATCATTAATTCTGTTTTCTTTATATTAGACAAAAAATATGCAAAAACATTGCGTAATTATTTATTATGTTGCTCGTGAATCGTGATCATAGTTTTGGTTGCCAACAGTAATATTGAGTTTGCGCCGTCAAACTGCATTTCATCAAATGTACGACGTATATACTTCCGCCACTTTTTGACCAATTATGAGTAATACCATATTCATATACAAATAACATATTGGTTTTTGTAGCTTTTTACAGCAATAAACATTCACACAACAATTTACGTTGATTTAAAGATTGAAATTTTGATTATGGTGATAGTTATATTCTTTGTCCTTTGATAAATTTTAGCTATTGTA